TTTTTTGCAGGAGCAAAACAGCAGTCCTGACTGACAGTAGAATCCGTCTCATGAACGAAGTGGTGTCTGGCATCAGGATAATCAAGATGTACGCCTGGGAGAAACCCTTCTCAGCGCTGCTTACTGAAGTCAGACGGTGAGGATGGAAGCAGCATCTTTAGTAAAGAACAGACAAACTTTGTTAGCATGTTGGCAGGAATCAAATAGAGAATTGCTGGGCCTTTATTTTTACTTTTAGCCTGTCTACTGACTTTGGATAAAATATATCTGTGGATAAAATAAAATGCTGTTATTGTAACTTGCCAGTGACGACTTACACCAGTCAGCCACAACACTTCGATCATTGACAGGTGAAGTGAATGCAGTTGATCACCTCATTAAGGGTTCTGGCATCTGAGTATTATTGTGACACACACCACCCACTTATATATTGTTTCAGATCAAGCTAAAAAACCACAGTACAGCCCCAGAGGTTCAAGTCCACATTTTGGCAGCACAAGGGGAGCCTACACATGACTAGATTGGTGGTTTTGATGTTGTGTCTGCTCAGTATCCAAGAATAGTTCAACATGACGTCAATGCACTTGGTACACTCTCTCCGTGGAAGGTCATATTTTGAGCCGTGGTGCCCACGCAAGTGGGATTTCAGTTTGGGAAACAGAAGTGCCATGTTGGGTGAGTTAGGAGCGTGAGGCAACAGTTCAAAGCCACAAATGGCTGCTTTTGCCACCTATGCTGTGTCGACAGGTGTTCTGTCCTGGAGCAGCAACATGCCACCTTGAAGCTTTCTTCTCCTTTAGTCTTTGATTGCTTCAAAATTTCAAATTTTGCAGACAGTGACACAGAGGCTGAGAACTGTATTGTAGTACCCGCCCAAAACATTATATTAACATCTGACTCACGTGTTGTCTTGTCTTCCCAGGAAAGAAATCAGTCAGATACTGAAGAGTTCCTACCTACGAGGACTCAACATGGCCTCCTTCTTTGCCAGCAGCAAGATCATCGTCTTTGTCACCTTCACCGTCTACGTTGTCCTGGGCAACGC